TCATAATTACGATTTAAATATAATTTAACCAAACTATAATTGACTTTAAACTTGATTACGTATATACTTGTGATTTATACAATTTGTGTCACTCAGGCTGATGCCGCAAATTATGCTTAACCTTATTTGGATATATGATACAAAGTCTACGTCAAACTTTTTTTACATGTTGCGCAACTTTCAAAAAATATATTATTGTAATATAAGCTTGAATGATTTTATTGGTCAGCAAAAAAATGCCTATATTTGCTGTCACATTTGAGTACAAAATACTACTGGTAATACACCTAAATCCTATCCATTAAAAATAATAATTGTTAAATTATTTAATACATTTATGTTGCAAAGGTAAATTTTACAGTACCAAAAAGATTAAAATTAATAAAATTTACTTATTATGCATACATGTAAGATAACTAAAGTTATATTATTGAATAAAAATTATTAAAACTTAAAATAATATTATTAAGACATTCATTATTTAAAATTTTAAATTTTCCAAACATTTTTATTATAAATTATTTTATTATAAAATTAATTTATGGTTAGAAAATTTACTAAAAAGAAATATAACAATTTTTAGATCTATATATAAAATAGAAAATGTTGTTTTAGTACGTATCCGGGTGATTGGCTGGCCGGGTCTGGTCTAGAATTTTCATGTTGTAAAACCAAGGAATTGACTTTTATATGTCCTAATATGTATAAAAATTTCTTAATTGAATATTTATAAAAAATAATAAATAAATTTGTAATTGTACCTATCAATATATGTATTTCTGCTTGTTCGAAACCACTTACGGCATAAACCGTAATAGTTTCGATACAAACCGAAACAATTTAACCACATGTATTTTCGACCACACAAAAAATTATTATACGTATACCCGGATAGTCGGGTGATTGATAGACCCGGCCAAAGATTTTCGTTACGGGTCGATCATATTATATAATACTTTTAATTTTTATTATGTTATACACACAATAAATACGTATACTTATATATACATAAAAACATTAGAATGAGCAATAATTATGAAAATCAGTTTTTTTTTTTTTAATGGATATCGGTACGTACGTATCGATACGTATAGGATTTTAAATTAAACCCTTGTTTCAAGAAGAAATTATTTTCGGAAATTCTACAGAGATTTATATTTGTGGCAATTTATACACATATTTAAAATTACTCAAATAGTACAAAATGGGACGGATTTACATATGCGACTATGTATTATCAAATCTACATTATATAACCATAACTATATATAACTTTAGACGTAATATATGTAAATTTATTTAGAACAAAAAAAAAAATTCCAATTGCTAGTTGGCTAAGAATTAGTCATGTCACTTGTTTAAGAATTATTCATACCACTTTGTTTAAGAATTATTCATGCCACTTATTAACCAATTAATTGATTAAGTTGCTAAAGTTTTACGTAATGTTTAGCTAGAAATACGTATTACATATCCCATGCATATTACAAGTATTATTAGAAAAACATGCACAGACAATGTTAATTGTCTGAACATAGAGATCAATATTGTCGGAGCATTTAGTTAAAGTATTGCGACGAATTTATGAAATTCAGAAACTAGAGTATTTGACTAAGTTTGACTAGTTTGACTAAGTTTGACTAAGTTTGACTAAGTTATGAAGTGCATCACTTATGCACTATTTGGGGGGGTTTTTTTTTTGATATTGCTTATTGTAAAATCATATAACCTATCTTCCCGTGAAAAGACTACTCTCATTATAACGGTGTGGGAAATTCCGACCGTTATGATGAATATCCGCTGCAATATTGTATAGTATAGTAATAAAAATTTAAAATATTCTAGATAATTACTCCGTTAACTGTATGCTACGTATAATGATGGTAGGGTGTATCGGTATATGATTTTTATAATTCTATAATTAGAAAAATAAATAGTAAGTGACACACTTCATAGCTTAGTCAATACTCTAGTTTCCGAATTTCATAATTTCGTCGTGATGATATATAAATGCTACTAATGAGTTCCCGGATAAATCTTCCAGATAACTATCGATTCGTTCTATCCCGAATGATAAATTTTTTTATAATGCTATAAGAGGATATACATAGCGTTTTATAAAATGGTACAATAGTCTATTATCGATCATAGTTTGAATGAAACATCAAACATGATACAAGGAAAAAGATAAGACATAGTAACTGTTGAAACACAAGAACCTTACGAACGTATACGTATTGATAAAGTAATCTCCGATTGTCGAAAATCGGTCACTTTTGCGGATGATGTTAAACATCACACGGGTACATACAAACTTTATTCCTAAAAAATCCAGGACTTTCCTAACCTAGAACAGGGATAGGATTCGAATACCGTTAAATACCGTTGGGGGTTGTTGTGCATGCACAAAAAAAAAAAAAAAAATTTTATTCAGGGTAATTTTATTACTTTCCATAGGTTGTATGTTTAGGTAAAACTGATTGTTTTTTAAGATAGCATTAAAAGGAATTCAAAGAGAATTTGTATAGAAATGATTGTCTTTTTTTTTTCAGCTATAATTATAAGGACAATATAATAAGGATAGTGTAAGGACAGTATAAGGACAGTATAAGGACAGTATAAGGATAGTATAAGGACAATATAAGAACAGTGTAAGGACAGTATAAGGTGACTACTTGGACTAGCGTTTACTTTTCTTGACACTAAAGATTTGACGGTACCTTATTAAAAAGGAACGAAAGGACATAAAATTAAGTACAAAGAAGTCTTGGTCACGTGGCAAGAAACAGTTTATTTTCCGATTTTACTTAGGTTTCATATGAATATATGTATTACAAGTTTACTATAATAAGATATATAAGTCTCTCATTTACATAAAATAAAGTCTAATAAGCATTGTAAATATTTTATGTTGATAGTAAAATTTGGAAAGAATCTTAACGAAAAAGGATAAGGCCGGAGCCACACCAGAACCAAGTGCATATAAATATGTAGGTAAAAATATTGTTCGACAGAGTACGGTCAGTAGTGTGAATCATTTCACGTTTACTTATTTACGCACGAATCATCGAATACGTTCATCAAAATCGTCTATCACCTAAGTCGTTATAACTTTTAATGAAGTTAATATTTTTCTTAATTCGGGATGAGTATATGCGTATTTAGAGTTCTGATGACCAAACGCATGATCATAAACGTGAGGATCATTTTGACTAAAAAAAGACTAAAGTGAATCATTACTTAATATATCAGAACTCATTAGCATACGGAATACCCCATGGTCACCAAGAGAATAGCACAAAATCGGTCTGTTTAATTTGATGAAGCGAGCCATTGTTCCAATCACGGAAAAATCTTAAATGGTGTGTGGAGTTGTGTATGGATCTAAAAATAGATGAACTCGAATTTTTCTGCGACTGATCTTAAATGGCCGCATGAAATATTTATGGCTTATCATATATTTACATACGTGTAACTTGCATGAAAAAATTGTGTATTTTTTTTACAGTAAAAAGATTCAAATAAGCTAAAAGAAATAAATATCTTTCACCCATTTTCTTTTTTTTTTTTTTTTTGTTCTTGCCTTTTTTTCTATCACGATAACATTTTGATAACATTTTGGTCGAGAATAATTTTTCCTAATACTTGACGTTTTTGTCTTGTTTGCCTTACTTTGCCTTGCTTGTTTTTTATTTTATAAATACGCTTGTTTAAGCATGGAAAATAAAAACGGGTTGATAGAAGTTACCCTAGACAATGAATATGTAAAAAATCGGATTAATATAGTAGAATATGAGTCGTTTGAAAAAATAACTCCTTTATCAACAAAAAATAAAATTCCTTGTAAAATTGTTTTGGCTACGCATGGAAAAAGTCAAACTACTGTTTGTCTAAAAGCGTTAAGACAAAATTATTTTAATCATAAGAATACTGATAGAAATGTTATCGAACGATTTGTGAATGAGGTATATTAAAAAATTAATATTAAACAATTGGTATTTCATTATAAATAACATCATAATACCAAATTTTTTTCAGTTGATGCTATTGTCAAAATTATCTCATACCAATGTCGTGAAAATTTTGGGATTATGTCAAGGTGAGTTTTGAAATAATAAAAGATTTTTAAAAAAAAGTTTTTATCGATTAATATCGATTAAAAAAACGGGTTTATTTTTTTTAGACCCAATAAGTGATAACACATTCCTAGTTATGCAATATGCTAATGGTGAGTCCTTACGACGATATTTACAAAATGATTACCCGCGGCTTACTTGGCTTGATAAAAAGAGGATTATAAAAGAAATTGCTAAGGGGTTAAATTATATGCACAATGAAGGAATTTCACATCGAAATTTGGTATGTAATGCTTTAATTAATTTAATATTATTTATTTAATATTATATTATTTATTTAACATTTAATTTATTTAATAATTTATTTAATAATTAATTTATTTATTCATATATATTGTTATTTTTGTTAATTTAGAATCCTGATAATATATTTGTAAATGATGGTCATATGATGATTTCAAATTTCGGCACTTCGGATAATGAGCAAGGAACATTGACTCTAAACGAAATGATACCGTTTATTGAACCTTTGTATTTGAAAGATCGACGTTATCAACGAGATAAACGATCTGACATTTACAGTTTAGGTGTTATTATGTATGAAGTATCAAGTGGTCGACCTCCTTTTGAATTGACTGGTTCCAATTTTCGCCTTTTACTGCAATTAATTTTGAATGGAGATAGGGAATCTGCGATTACACCTGGTACTCCAATTCATTATGTTCAACTATATAGGCATTGTTGGAGTGAAGATCCTAACAAACGTCCAGCTGCTGAACAAGTTTTGGATAATCTTGTAAAGATAAATATAGTATCATCTATACATGATTCTAACCGTCGATTCAAATTTGAATCACCACAAAAAACTCCCCCATTGCTTGATAATCCACCATTGATCACTCCACTTATTTCACCACGAGTAGATTCAATTGGTAATATAAATTGAAATGTAAATTCGATTATCTAATGTGATTAATTTAAAAAATAATTCATGTTATTATTTTATATTTTTATATGTTTATATGTTGTAGGTTGGCGCAATTCGATACATGACATTAATCTTGACCAAAGCAATTCGAATCATTTCGTTCAATCAGGATTACATCTTGTATGCTTTATATTTTCTATATATTTACCATGTTATATACTTAATATTTATATTATTTAATATTTATATTATTTAATATTTACTATGTACTTTTTATTCAGAATGTCATTGACCCATCATTAAGTCGTGACCCATCAATAAGTCTTGACCCATCAATAAGTCGTGATCCATCAATAAGTAGTGACCCATCAATAAGTAGTAGACCCAAGTCACGTAGCACAAGCTTTGACACCTTAACAAATAAGCGTCCCTATGTTCTAAATGAAAAAAGTCAAAGCTTTTATATTCCAAGTGATGAAAAAACAGAAGAGATAAACCCTAATATCTTTAATATACGCGCTACATCATCATTATTTGATAGTCGTCAACCACAAATAATTTTGATAGCTCGTTATTCACCATCAAAAAGCATAATTCCAGTTTTAAATACATTAAAGAAACGAGGAGATGATTTAGGGAAAAGAGATATTTATAAGAAAAAAACCGTATTTCATAGTCTTATATGGAATGATGATTTATTTGATATAACATTTGAACGATCAAAAAGACTTCCTCGTCATGATCGATTTCGAGCAGTAATAAGATGGTTAATATCAAATGGTTTAGACATAGATGCAACAGATAATTTTGGATGGACAGCACTTCATGAAGCAATATGGAAACGTAAAGATCCAGGAGTAGTTTTAGCATTATTAGAAAATAATGCAAATCCGAATACACCAGATAATTTTGGATTAACACCATTACATCAATGTTTAGATATTTTACGTAAAACAAAAAGGGATGATGAAAATTCCAATGTTTTTACAATAATAAGATTACTTTTACATTCAGGAGCCGATCCAAATCTAACATTACCCGATTATACATTAACACTTTCAGGAGCATCATTACCAAATTGTTTATTTGCAGCAGTTTATCTTGGACTTCCATTGGATATTATTGAATTAATGATTAAAAGAGGAGCAGATGCTACATCCACAACATTTATGGGATTATTCTTGCTTGATTTTGCATCAAAAGTTAATAATACATTAGCATTAAAATATTTGGCAGATAATAGGAATTTAATGAATAAAAGAACTAGTATATTTCATTCATTTAAACATACGTCAAAGATTGGATCATTTCCTTTGAAACTAGAAAAACAAAATAATGGGATACGAAAGATATTGAATATATCTATTTTTTAAAAAAAAAAACATTACATTCTTGTATGTATGTATTATGTATTTATGTATGTATTTTGATCATTAGAATTTTTTATGTATCGAGTTATATAGAAACTTGTCCTGCATTTGGACGAATCTATCTTATTTAATTTTTTTTTTATTATTTATTTGTTACTTAACAATCCTTAACAATCCTTAACAATCAATCAATCAATCAAATACAACTTTTTTTGTAATTACTTTTTTTGCATTAGCACCTTCGTTTATTTTTTTTGTTAGGTCAAAGGGTCAAAAGAAGATGGGTTTTTCTTTTTCGATAGGGGTAATTTAATTTAATTTCTTTTCTTTTCTTTCAAATATTGGAGACTGTGTATTTTTTTTCTTTTTTTTTTTGTATAGTTTAGATAACACCAGATTTCGAAAATAGATTAACATATTGATATCGATATCGATTCATCTATTATTATCATTATTATTATCATTATGTTTTTTTTTTTAATAATATCGATGAAAAATAGTATCGATTCAAAAAAAAAAAAAAAGAATATAATTAAAATATTGAGATATTGAGACTTACGCATTTCATAATTACTCATTCTCGAAATGGATAAATTCTCTTGACAAATTGAACAATTGAACGAATGGATAAATTCTCTTGACAAAATTGAACGACTAATTGAACGAATAGTAAAATGTGCCACTAATGCAATTTTACGCAATTTTACATTAATGAAATATGCACATAATAAAGTCATGATCATTTATTATGTTTTGTTATGATTTGTGTTAACATTATTGACGTAATAAAATTATAAACATTATGTAAAATGCATAAATTTTTGGGGGTGGATTGTTTTTTGAATGATTAGAACAACATCTATTAACATTTATTATCAGTAACATTTTATTATCAGTTGCATTTATTATCAGTTGCAACATCTATCACAACATCTATTACGGCATCTATTACGCATATATTACGGGGGTTAGTAACCAAGCAACGTCATCGCACAGATAAGAACCTTACTGATCAACAATTATTTGTGTTTGATAATTATTTAACTATTTGTGTTGTGTTGCTGTTTTACGAACCATTCAAATGCGGCCTTACGAACCACTCTTTGTCGTCTTACGAATCATTCTAATGCTGTCTTACGAATTATTCTAAAGGAGGTGGGAATAAATTTAAGAATCAAAGATCCACGATAATTATTACACAAATTATTACACAAAAAAATCTCTTATCAAAACATTTCTTTTATGACAATCCGGTCTCGATTCATCTCTTTTTCAACCCCCTAAATCTGTTAATATGCTTTTCATACTTAATACCTAAATTGCTTCGTACTTCTTACCATGTATCACTTTAAATATTTGTCATTTTATACCTACTTTTGGCTTGTAAACCTGCAATCAAACTAACTTCAAACTAACTTAATGCCGTCATAATCTTGTTAAGGTAAAAATTAATCTTCATAAATCTTGTTAGGGTAAAGATTAATTCTTCATAGGGTAAAGATTTGTGAGTGAACATTCATTTAGTACACAGATAATCATAAATACGTACGTACGTGTGTACTAAACTCATAGACATGCTATAAATGCTATTAAATGCTATACATGCTATAAATGCTATTAAATGCTATACATGCTATACATTTTATACATGCTATACATGCTACGTATACATTTATACATGCTATACATGCTATACATTTATACATGCTATACATACTACGTATTACATGCTATACAGTACATGCTACATTGTAATTTATTTATCGCATTTACGCGATACCTTTAAAATGATAATTATTAAGGAAACGATCATTTTTAATTTGTTTACGTGAAATAGATTTTCAATGCGAGTTAAAAATTTTCTAAATTTACATTTTTTTTTTTTTATTATTATTACAAAGGGTTAAAAATTTATTTACTTAATTATAGGATAACACATAACACATGATATTTTTATGCAAATAATAAAGTAAAAAAAAAAAAAATTCTCTTTATGGATATATATATGTACGTATAACGATAACGATAATGAATACGTACCAAATTTGGAAACTTCATATATATGCATATTAACAATCATTCTTTAATATATCTCCTTTATTAATTTCGGTAAATGTATAAATTAATAATCATATCAATAATCATATCAATAATCATATCAATAATCTTAATCATATCTATTTTATCAGGGTTTTTTAAAGTTTCAAACAAGAATTTAAAGTTGCTCCTAATAAATTTAACGATCCATACATTTACATTTATATCAAATTAAATTATGATCATATACAATTCTGGTTTTTTATAAAGTTTTATAAAGATATATGTATCATTATTTTTAACAATTACATACGTAGCATAAAGTGCCTAAATATATTTTTACACTATATATTGTTCATACGTAAAAAAATATATATACATTTACTGTACATACAGTTTATCTG